TGTTCCCACGCGTCTCGTCCTCCCTTTCTCCCGTCGCCCCCTCCATCCTCCCTTGTTGTTGCTCCCCCCCCTTTGTCTGACTACCTGCGTGCCACTCGTCCTCTTGTTCCTCGGGTCCTTGCCTCCCTCGTTACTGACCCGTCTGTTCCAGTTTCGAGTCTTGACGCCCTTGTCGCTGCGGTCGCTGACTTCGCCTCTACCCGCCGCCTTGACTACGCCACCGTTCTGGTCTCTGACCCTGCCTGTCCTCCGTCTGTCGGGGGTGCTCCTGCCCTCGGCAGTGACGTCCTGAAGGACCGCCAGTACGAGCTTGCTTTCCTGTCTGAGGCTGCTCCCCATCTCTGCTCTATGCTTCTAGTCCCTGAGGGTGACCCTGACGCTTTCCACATCCCGACCCCTCGCACTTACGCTGAGGCGGTCTCGGGACCCTGGGCCTCTCAGTGGATAGCTGCCATGGAGCACGAGATGGCATCTTGGAGATCCACCGGCACCTACGTCGACGCAATTCCCCCACCTGGGGTGAACGTTGTTGATAGCCGCTGGCTCTTCAAGGTGAAGTGCCCTCCTGGAGAGCCGCCTGTGTTCAAGGCGCGCTACGTGGCTAGAGGTTTCAGTCAGTATGCGGGGGTGGACTTCTTCCAGACCTTCGCTCCGACCCCGAAGATGACTACTCTTCGGGTGCTACTACACGTAGCAGCGCAGCGTGACTACGAGCTTCACTCCCTCGACCTCTCCACTGCGTTTCTTCAGGGCAATCTACACGAGCAGGTCTACCTGCGCCGCCCTCAGGGCTTCACTGGCACCTTCTCTTCTGGGACCCAGTGGCTTCTGCGGCGCCCTATCTACGGCCTGCGGCAGGCTCCCTGTGAGTGGCACGACACGCTGCGTGCTACGCTTGCTGACCTGCAGTTCTTTCCGTCCTCTGCTGACCCCTCACTCTTCGTTCATGCTGGCCAGACCCTGTTCTACATCCTTGTTTACGTAGAGGACCTGGTCTTCGCCATAGCAGACAGGGACACACTGGCCTCCGTGAAGGCAGATCTGCTGAAGAGACACACCTGCACTGACCTTGGAGAACTGCGCCGTTACCTTGGCTTGCAGATCTCCAGGGGCAGAGCAACCCGCACTATCACTTTGACTTAGTCACACTTGGTGCGCCAGGTCCTTCAGAGGTTCGGCCTTCAGTTCTCCTCCGCACAGCCCACTCCTCTACCCCTAGACCACAGGCTCTCCGCTCCAGTTCCTGAGGAGTCAGTAGAGCCTAGTGGTCCTTACGCAGAGCTGGTGGGTTGCCTCATGTACCTGATGACTTGCACTCGCCCAGATCTCGCATACCCTCTCAGCATCCTGGCTCGCTTTGTGGCTACAGGCAGACACCGACCATAGCACTTGTCTGCCGCTAAGAGGGTTATGCGTTATCTTGCAAGTACATCGGGCATGGGGTTAGTGCTAGGAGGACGCAAGCCAGTGGTCCTTACTGGACACACAGACGCTTCTTGGGCAGACGACGCCGAGACACTCAGGTCTTCCTAGGGCTACTGCTTCAGCCTTGGTTCAGGTGCCGTCTCGTGGAGAGCTACCCGCTCCTCGTCTGTTGCCCAGTCCAGCTGTGAGGCCGAGATCTACGCTGGTGCCATGGCGGCACAGGAGCTCCGCTGGCTGACCTTCTTGCTCACTGACTTAGGTGAGCGGCCTAGCTCTGCCCCGGTCCTGTACGCTGACAACAGGGCCATGATCCTCCTGTGTCAGGAGCCTCGACTCGAGGGCAGAGCAAAGCATATCCAGCTGCGGTACTTCCTCCTGCGTGAGCTCCAGCAGCGCCGCCAGGCGCGCGTAGTACACTCGGCCTCCGGTGCCAACACAGCTGATATCTTTACGAAGGCGCTTGCGCCTAAAGATCATCAGCGGCACTGTGTACAGCTAGGTCTCGTTCCTGTAGCCTCTCACTTGCTAGGGTCTTGACCTTGTACTGTCGTTTATATATATATACATATTTTTTACTCTGACTGGCCTTGTGGCCTCACCTCCAGTGGCTGGACTAGTAGTGCCTCCTTGGTCTTGCTCTTGTCTTGTCTGTATTCCTTTGACTGGTCTTTAGACCCTTGTCTCAGATGCTGGACTAGTAGTGCCGCCCTGAGCTGCTTCTGCCCTTGTTACGCACTGCCCCTATATAGTCTAGGGGCTGTGTCAAACATAGCTTATGCAGGTACTGTAGACTATATATGTTTGTGCCTTAGTGGGTACAACTCTCTAGACTATATTGCCTTGTAGCTCACCACTCTAACCACCACTCTTTCGGTTACTCTGAGCTAACCCTCCCCCCCCAAAAAAAAAGAAGAAAAAATGTATGAAAGGTCTTCAGCCATAATTTAGGGACTCTGAAATGTCAGAGTCCGGAGATGGGCAAGTCTGAAATCCTCAGGATCGCGCAAGTACATTCAGGGTTACAACTTACATGTTATTAAGAATGCTTCTTGTATCTTACATTTTCCTACATTGGACAAGAGCCTACAATAATTACCGTACTACCACTACCAATCTACCACCAAGCAATCACTAACTAACAAGCTCCTAGAACTCCAGCGCATCTACTGTAATCTCCCTCAGCCCGCCCCTCTCCCATGTACTCTGGCACCTCCCCCTGTCCATCACCCGTTGTGTCTCCCGCCACCTCATCCTCCAGGGCCTTTCCCTTGTGCTTATGTTCCGCAGATTGCGAAGACAACAGCTCGTGCTGGGCGTCTCAGCTTCTCTCGCCAGGTCGCCAGGGCTTCGGTCCAATTGATGTCGTACTGCAGCAGCAAGATGGCCATGAACTCAGAGAGGCGCGCGTTGCGGAGTGAGCCACGGACCCAGGACTTAATCACATTCTGTCGAGAGAAGCCCCTCTCGCATTCGACTGTTGACAGAGGCAGCACGACGCAGGCCTGCCACAGGCGCACCAGATTGGGCCAGCGCCTGACATGAGACACAAAAACAAAGGCGGAAGAAAGGCAGTAGGAAATGCATAGAGTGAAGGCGGATAAAAAAGAGGGTTTAAAGGCGGTTGGCAAGGGCGGCAATGTTGTGCACACCTGGCAAGTAGAATGGGAGGTGGTGATTTAGAAACAACAATACCGTTGGACTTGCCTGCTCGAGTCTGTCTTCGTGAGGTAGTTTGCCAGGCCTTGGTGGAAGCTCTCCACCTCGTGGTGATTCTGCATGATCGGCGCCCACGTTGCGAGCTCCGTCTCCGCTGCCTTCACGTCGAAGCTGGGCAGCTTGTGCTCGAAGATGCCGCTGCATCCAAGTAGATACTCTTTCGTCTTTTTCTCGCGCTGTGCCCGTTGTCTCGGCCACTTCGCCGTCACCCAGAGCTTCGTCGGCGACATCTTGCGCAGATCCCGCATCCGCTCTCGTACGTTGATCATGGTATCCTTGGCGTGCTTCTGGCACAGCAGCAGGCAGTCCTTGTAGCTGTTCCCGTACTGGAGCTTGTCGAGGTGCCGCTCGTGCATCTTGTACGTGTGGGTGACGGGGTTCCCCTCCAAGTTGATACCGTGCACCTTCACCCGCTTCGACCCGCCGCGCCCGTACACCGTGAGGAACGCCGAGAGCCAGGTGTTTTCGGCGCCGACACCGAAAACCTCCCCGCACTCGACAGAGCGGTGCTGCAGATCCCCCAGTGTCTCATCGATGTCCGTTGCCACCTCTGTGACATCGACCTGCGGTGTGGGGGGGAGGACACAGAGGAGAGGGAAAGACATGAGTAGTTGCACCAGAGGAGAACACCACGCTTGCAGACAGCGTCTCACCTTTCGCTTCTGGAACTTGAGGTTGAGGTCGTTCACGAGTGCCAGCATGTCGGCCAGGTAGAAGAGGCAAAACTGAAACTTATACGAAATCACAACCTCATACAGGGGATGCGCATACTCATACAGCAGGACAATCGCAGCACCCAACACTTTACACAGGCGTCGGATTGCCTCTCCCCTAGACAACCATCGAACTTGATGGATGCCTTGAACCTCAAGGTTTGTGCTGTGAATCGTCCGCTACAGATGCTGGAAACGACTGCTCCATACGCTCGACCGGCCGAGCAGGTCCGCAAGGGTGCGAGTGACCTTGTCGACCATGTCGAGGTCTGGACATGAAGCTGCAGTGTCCTTCACAGCAAGTGCTTCTCTGCATGTACCCACACGGGTAGTAGTTAGCACACGGAAATATAAAAAACATAAACAAACAGCAAGGAATAAAATAAACCTGTGGGCGATGCAGTGTGAGGAAAAGAGGTGCGGGATGATGTCTCGCAGGAGCGCCATAAGCCCGTTGTCTCGCCCGACCATCACCGACGCGCCGTCTGTGCTGATGCCAATGATGCGTTGAAGGTCGATGCCGGACGACTCCAGGTGGACTAGGAGAGTGGCCATGAGAGAAGCGGCGTCGCACTTGTCAACTTCTAGCAGGGCTAGGAATTTGGTGACAACTCGACGCAGCCACATGAATGTGATGTAGACGATCAGGTGCTTTCCCCGAGTGCGGTCGGTGCTCTCGTCGCACAAGATGCCGAGGTAAGGTAAGCTCATGATGTGCTCCATCTGAGTTGCCAGCAGATAAGTTGACTGACAGTTCACCATCTGCTGGAACCCGTACCTGCAGTGGCATAATCAGAAGTGAAACAATCATTAATTAGCATTGCAAATGCATTGAATTTTACATGGCTGATACCAAAATCCAACCATTGACCGGCGACAACAAGGTAGCCTTACCTGGTGAGATACACACCGTACGACTGGAGAGGTATGTCTGGTGTGTCTTGCTCTGCCATTAAATGAAGCAGCCTGGGAAACATGGCGATAGGAGCATCGTTCTTGCAAAGAAACTCCACGTACTGCAAAAGACGGATGAAGCGGCGACCTTCGACATCGACAGTGGCGAAGCTTGTCATCTTCTGCTGCTTGTCTTCAATTTCCTTGTGAATCTCGAGTTATCGGCAAACCGCCTCTTCGTGGACTGTCGAGTGTTCATGGATGTGCATCGTCTGTGTCTGAAGATCTCGCCCGCCATCGTCCACAACAAAGAGTTACTCGCCATCGTTCACACTTTCAAGGTCTGGTGCTGGTACCTGACGGGCGCTGACGTGACAGTCCGAACAGACCACAAATCGCTACAGTTCATCCGCGCCCAACCGACACTAAATCCCCGACATATTCGCTGGCTCGATTACCTCGAGTCAAACTTCCACTACAAAGTCACCTACAAACGGGGGGTTAGCAACATCGCCGACGCATTGACGCGCCCTTCAGTCCACACCGCCGTAGTCCTAATTACCCAAGCTAATCCGCTGCTAACTGGCCTATTCACCCACGGATACAGTACGGATCCATTCTTCACCACTAACAGTCATCCCCAAGTGACGGTCAAGCAAGGGGCCTATTGCATAAAATCCGGTACCAATCGGATTGGGTTCCCGCCTACCGTACCTTACGCGAGCTACTGATACAGGAGGCACACGACTCGAATTTCTTGGGTCACTACGGCATCGAAAAAACTGCCAAATTACTGAACCGTAATTATTACTGGTCTGACTTGCCGACAAACGTGCAGTAGTACGTCACCTCCTACGCCACATCTCAATGCATGAAGTCTTCACAGCTTCGACCTGCGGGATTGTTGTAGCCGCTCGAGCCACCCAACCGACCCTGGCAACAAGTGACGATGGATTTTATCACTGGCCTGCCAGCTGGTTCAAGCGGTAACGACGCGATTCTCGTCGTCGTTGACCGGTTGACCAAGATGGCCCACTTCGCCACCTGCAAGACGACAATCACTGCCGAGCAGACAGCGAAACTGTTCCTCACGAACATCGTGCGGCTACACGACATTCCTTCGGCAATCATCACCGATCGCGACCCTTGGTTCAAGTCCAACTTCTAGACAAAAACCTAGCATCAGTACGGCACACGTCTACATCTGTCCACGGCATACCACCCGCAATCGGACGGCCAGACTGAGCGCACCAATCAGACGATGGAGCAGCTGATTCGCATGACGTGCACAGACCCGGCCCTATGGGAAGACTCCCTTCCCTTGATCGAGTTTGCGTACAACAGCGCCCCAACAGCCCCGACTACTCAGTCCCCGTTCTTCCTTAATTACGGGATAGAGCCGACAACCCCTCTATCGCCACCAATAGAAAATCCGGCACCGAGGTCGCAACTGTTTCTTCGAAAATCTCCGACAGTCTTAGCAAAAAGCCACCTATGCCATCCTGAAAGCCAACCAACAGGCTAAGCAACAAGCTGACCAACGACGCCGAGTCTTAACTCTTGCCCCTGGGCAATTGGTCCTGCTCGACACCAGAAAATTGGGGATTCCCCTCCCAAATAAACTACGACCAAGATTTTGCGGCCCATTCCGCATCATCCGCATGGTGACACCCGTCACCGCCCAGCTGCAACTACCGGTCAACTGGCGAATTCATGACTCATTCTACGTCAGCCTCCAGCGACCATTCGTCCCGAGCATGACTAATCTCGACCGTCAACACATCAATCCTACAGTCAACCCAGTACCTGAGCCGATGATCGAGCCATCGAAGTTTCTCGCTCATCGCGTACGAGGTCATCGAGATACAGCACCCTTGATTTCCTTGTACGATGGGTCGATCGCACGACTGACGACAATCTTTGGGTCCCCGCAGCTATGCTCGGCGAACACAAAGTCGTCCGGGACTATTTACACCGACGACGTGTCCCGGATGTGGGTAGTCTCATTCCGGAAGGGGGGGTGGTGAAAGGAAATTCCCTTTTCCTTATTGGGCTCGACTACATCGCGTACGCCCTCGACTCTCGGAAGTCCAGGCTCGGCCAACTTTTTCGGTCCCGAACCACTTCGCGAACCCAAACCTCGACGCGCAGCGCTTCCGTGGCTTTCGCCAACCGAAACGCCCCAACCTGTTCGCGTGGTTCTCGGCTAGCTCTGTTCGTGCCTATAAATGCCTAGGCCCTCATTTGTATCGACACTCTTGAATCACGACTCATTTATCACACTACCTGTTATTAGTCTGATTAATTCATAACATAGGGGGTGTGCTAAATTATATATTTTGTTATATAATTGGTAGGCTTGGTAGGTGTTACTGAAACCTGCTGTAGAGGGTACAGCCCCCCTCCTTGTATCCCTCTCTCTTCTATTCTCAACACTCTTTTCTCTCGTCAACTTTCTCCTTCCTAAACCCCACGCCATTCCATGGCTTCCCTCCTACCGATCTTAGTTTATTAGGGGGGAGGGGGGTCGTTTATTCAAATAATTTATATTCCCCCATCCCATTAACGTTTATAATATTTTTAATGCCAATTCCATTTTTTTAATCATATTGTAATTTCTATGTTGTTTCATGTTTTGGGAGAAATTTCGACGAGGATTTATCGTGTCGAATGTCTAGTTGGCGATCTGCTAGGCTGAAAACATGTGTTTCTGACGCGACTTGTGACAGGTGTTTCTAGCTCGTGACAAGTGATTCTGACAAGTGTTCCTCGAATGTCTCCATGGTACTGAAATCACAACTTGATAGACGGCTGGGATGGTCGCACTCCACACCCTCGTTCCTCCCTTGCTGCTTCACTCGTGCCTGCTGTCATTATTGCCGCCAAAAAAGCCGCCCCCTTTGTGATGCCTTCCCTATGAAAACACTTGCCAGAAGTCTGGTGCAACTACTCCTGGTGTTTTCCTATGAAGTTACGATGGTTCCATTCATAAGACCCACTTCCACCTTTTTTTTTTCTCGTTGCTAGGGATTTTTTATGTACCAGCCCTGTATTGCTAGGGTATTTTGTGCAACCTACCTTGATTTCTCACCGGAAAAATAGCGGAGGGGGGTCCCTCTTGATGGATGAGTGGGTGCAAAAATACTAAGTCACGAGCTGGCGAGAAAATGAAACGTCACAGTGCCCGAAACTTTGTAACTCTCCGGGGAAAAAAAAAAAAAAAAAAAAAAAAAACACAACAACAACAACAAGAGGCAACGAGATCGTCTTAGGGTTGCGGAGCATTTCATGATGAGACTTTATCATACATAAATGTTTTATTTTCATACCAAATAATCACTCTGTTTGTTGGATAGAAGTCGTCATTTTCCATATCACAACAAACATTTGATTATTATTTCCATATGACAAGAACAAATGATGCTATTTCACATATTTATTTGAAAATTGAGGCAATGTGTGAAAAATGGGATGCAATGAGGTAACTTTTCGAAGCAGTGACAACCTTTATTCCTTCTTGTCAAAACTCGAACCCTATAGCGTTTGACTCAAAGGACATTCAAACGACTTAGCTAAACTACTCGTCCTGCAAGATAATTTGTATTAATTGAAATCGTAAATTTGCGACGAAGGTCCAACAACTTCAACAACTCGTTTCTGCTTTTCCTCTTGCCTAACAATCTCCTTAGCAGAGCTACCTCTCATAGCACAGGTATGTCATTCATAGCGTCCTAGGCTTTCAAGTCACTGAAGGGTTGCCTCTAATATCCTCAGATTTCCTATTTTCTTTCCGCGACCTCGATAGTTCTAGGTGGAGATATTGGGCTGCATCCCATTTCGACCTTCTTCTAGGTCGTATTACTGGGCTGCAGCGCGACCTCGTTCTAGGTCGTTATTAGGGGGCTGCAGCCCATTTCAGCCTAGTTCTAGGTCGATCTACAGGGCTGCATCCCATATCGACTTCGTTCTAGGTCGATTTTAGGGATTGCGACCTTTTTCGACCTAGATCTAGGTCGATTTATTGAGCTGCAACCCATTTTGACTTCCGTTTTGCCATTTTTCTGCAACCCCTTCATCTTACTTTCTTGTATCATTCTCTAATTTGTGTACACCGTCTGTTTCTTGCTCTACTTCTTGTCTTGGTTCCTGATCCCCTCTAATTCCCTTGGTATTCTTGTATACTTGACACAAGATTCCAAGCACTTGTGAAAGCTGAAAAGTGGCTTCGTTATGGGCGTCAGCTAAACACCGTTTCTATTCCAAGCTGTCTGAATTGCATTGTTGCTTGTCAAAAACATTTATTGCTTGCTGATGATTTTCACTTCGTGTCTGTTGCTGGCCCAATAACATCCATTTACCACATGGATAAGGATTTTGTGTGAGTAAGAAAGTGGGTTAATCTTATCATTTCAAGCAAGGTTCTTTGACTCTCTCTTTGAGTGCAGTCACTTGAACTGGAGATGATAAGTGCAACATATTTTTCTTGCTATCATAAATTGTATTATCTCACGATCGACATAATAGGCTTTCGACTTCCCCCACTTAGCTGGGGAAGCGATAGCCTATTTTTGTCAATGACAAAAATATGCCACTGGAAATAATGGGAAACAATGACAAACATTTTAGATTCAAATCAATTAGGAAAACAAAAAGTTATTGGGAAATTCATTAAGATTTTTTTTTAAGATTTGGTAGTTTTTCCAAATCACAAACTTGAAAAAAAAATCCTTACGATCGATCGCAATAGGTTGCTCCGCAACCCAAAAACGGATTGCTCAAATGCTACTGGTTGCGGGAAAGTACGAGCCAATGTGGGCTCGACGCGAAATACATTTGACAGCCTGGCGCTTCGTGCAGTCCCCCTGCGACATTTGTCGCACGCGACATGGGCCTCACTGATTTCTGCAGGGGGGGTTCAAGAGGGACCCCCCTCTGCTATTCTTGTTTTTGCGGGCTCGCTGGGCAAAAATCAAGTGGGGCCCCACTTGATGTCCAAGTGGGGCCCAATTCGACGTGGCAAAATCACGTGCCACGTCGTGCAGCCCACGACGCGTTACGCTGTGCGAAATTCACAAGGCAGAAATATGTCAACTGGATGTGTTCTTAGTATCGAATTGTGCGGGCTGCTGCCCAGCTCCGAATATAAAAAAGCTCCTCGATACAAAAGGGGCCCTGATCAAGAGGGGTCCCAACCAGGGCCTCATATTGGTTTTGAGGTACCCTAATTGCTCAGGATCCCCCCCCCCCCCATGTTTAGCCCCAAATTTTTTTCCGAAGAGTAATCCAGGTTACTTCAGAATATTACGCTGATTTTACGAAATTGGGAGATGGGCGGAACGGAACTTGGGGAGGACAGGGACAGGACAGAGTGGGGGCAGGGGGGGAACGAGGGAGGGAGGATTCCCGCGGGAATCATGATGCTTATGAGGCCGTCAATTTTTGCGGCGATTTTTTGTTAAACTATATATCATATGTTAGAATAATAGAATGAATATAAACAAGAGAGAACAAGAGAGAATGAATATAGGGTTGGGTTGTACTCTCTAAGAACATAAACCTATTCTAGCCTATAACTTCTACATGCAAATGTATGTTTAAGTTGACACACCCCCTAGGCTAGATAAGGGTAGTGCTGAGCAAGAAGCACACAGCTCAAGGTGGCACTACTAGTCCAACCTCTGAGACAGGGGTCCGAAGACCAGTCAGGAAGAGTACAAACAAGATAGGAGCAAACCAGGGCGGCACTACTAGTCTGGCCACTGGAAGAGAAGCCACAAGGCCTGTCTGAAAGATATTTAGAAAAAGGAGTACACAATCAAGGTCCTAGCAAGTGAGTGTCTATAGGAACTAGACCAAGCTGCAGGCAGTGCCGCTGATGATCATTAGGCGCAAGCTCCTTAGTATAGATATCAGCTGTGTTGGCACCGAAGGCCAAGTGTACGACGCGGGCCTAACGGCGTTGCTGTAGCTCGCACATGAGGAAGTACCGCAGCAGGAGATTCTTCGCTCTACCCTCAAGTCGAGGCTCCTAACACAGGAGGATCATGGCCCTGTTGTCAGCGTACAGGACCGGGGCAGAGCTAGGCCGCTCACCTAAGTCGGTGAGCAAGAATGTCAGCCAGCGGAGCTCATTTTCCGCCATGACACCGGTATAGATCTCAGCCTCACAGTTAGACTGGGCAACAGACGAGGAGCGAGTGGACCTCCACGAGATGGCATCCGAACCAAGGCTAAAGCAGTAGCCGTGGGAGGACCTGAGGGTCTCAGTGTCATTTGCCCAAGAAGCGTCTGTGTGCCCAGTAAGGACCACCGGCCTGCGTCCTCCTAGCACTAGCCCCATGCCCGATGTACTCGCTAGATAACGCAAAACCCTCTTAGCAGCCGGCCAGTGCTGTGGTCGGTGTCTGCCAGTGGCCACAAAGCGAGCCAGGATGCTGAGAGGGTATGCGAGATCGGGCCGAGTGCAAGTCATCAGGTAAATAAGGCAACCCACTAGCTCCGTGTAAGGACCACTGGGCTCTACTGACTCCTCAAGAACTGGAGCCGAGAGCCTGTGGTCTACTGGCAGAGGTGTGGGCTGTGCGGAGGAGAACTGAAGACCGAACCTCTGAAGGACCTAGTGCACCAAGTGGGACTGGGTGAGAGTGATGGTGCGCACTGCTCCGTCCCTGGAGATCTGCAGGCCAAGGTAGCGGCGCAGCTCTCCTAGGTCCGTGCAGGTGTGTCTTCTCAGCAGTTCGGCCTTCATGGAGGACAGCGCGTCTCTGTCTGCAGTTGCGAAGTCCACGTCATCTATGTAGACAAGGATATAAAGCGGAGTACGGCCAACACGAGGGA